TTTCAGAACTGACCTCTCTGCCCCTTTGCCCACTCTTCTCCTTTCAGAACAGTGTCTGGCTAAAAACTGACCACCCACACATAGCTACACACTTAAACCACACCCAACACAATAGCTCCCTCTCCTCTCACGTCCCTAACAAACAACACTTAGAAGAACTTTGACATTCAGGATTTTAACTGATCCTCCTAAGCCCGACCTGAAACAGGGATGAAATGACACTGTATATAATAAAGGGTTGGCCCCAGACCACACCACCAGTCAGAGCCTGGAAGTGAAGTCATCTTATTGCAAGTTGGGTGTCTGTCTATAACACCACAACGCCTGGACTGCAGAGGGCAAGAAGGACAGAAAATACTGCATGTCTGTTCTATACTCAGGGTGACAACAGATTTGCCAGCCCTCTCTCAGCATCCTGTTCACATGATCTTGAGGGGCCAAAGTCTCAGGACCAGGCTGGAATTCAGGACACACCATTCAGGGTGGTTTGTGGTTTTCTGGACTTGTTTGCTTTTAGTTAAATGAACTGGCTTGTCTTCAGTTCAGGCTTACAACCCACCTCAAAAATACCTTCATGTTCATTTTATTTGAATATATTCAATAGCATTAATGTTAACTACCCATTCACTTCCCCCAAAAGAAAATATACCCCCTCAAATTATGTCAGGTCATTAAGGAATTACAAAATAAAATGACTAAAATTAGACTTAATTTCCTTCTCACCAAAATCCTGAATTCCAGCTTTAACACACCAAAAAAAAAAAAAAAGCAAAATTGAGGACAAATATGACACTGATAAAATCATAAGTCATACAGGCAGAAAAGTACAACTTCTTTATACACATCAGAAATTAAGTGCATTATTTAGACCCCCATTTCTAGCTTTTGAAGTTGCCAGTCAGTTAACTTAATGATAGGCCATAAATGCACATTTGAATACTAGTTGGTAATGTTAATAAGAAAGCAGTTGGATTTGAGTTAGCAGTCACATTGAGTCTTGAGTGTAAACATCAAGTGGAAACCTGTGAGAATGTACTTCGTATTTGTAGGAGAGGAAAGCACTTTGGCATTTGAAGTATATCGATACAGCTATAACTGTGATTCCAATATTCGCAAGTCAAATACACACCACGTTATTTCTCTAACGAATCACCCTCCATCTCCTGCCCTTCTCCAGCTGAACCCCAGGGAGCATGGGGATGATCTTAGGGAGTGTCCATTCACCCCAGGCATGCTATCAGGTCCACTAAAACACAGACTCAAAATGACAATCTGAAATAAACTATTCTCTTACATATACCCTTATTGATGCAAATAATTGAGAGAGGAGTGTGTTCTCTTGAGACTCACAGATTTGGGAGTGAAGGCAGGCTGGGGATTGCTGACAGGTAAAAAGTATTATTTTCAATGAATTGTGCATTCTTTTTCTGATTGTCAGTCATCGTACTATGACCCTTAACAAGATATGAACACAAACATTGTTTTCTCTAAAAAATGACTCTAACATCTGCTCCATTTATCTCAAAGGACAGTTCTCAAAAGTTCTTTAGTGAAAATATACAAATAAAACATTATAATTGCTATTAACAAGAAATTAATTTCTTTTTCATAAAGTAGAGTTAGATATTGTCTTTAGGGTCTAAAGAAAAACTAGTTGAATTATCTAACAAATGAAAATAATTGAATTACAGGAAAGTCTAATTATAATCCTCCTCTAAATCACTAGATGCATAATTTACATGGCAATAAGTTTGCTAGTTAGTGTGCTGATTAAAATCACTGCTGCGTAAAATGGTTCATTCAGTAATTCTTTGGGAATGCAAATTCAAGTTTAGGAAACAATAAGCACACTTTCAAAATGGAATAATGTTGACATTCTAAGAGATGATTATGAAAATTTAAAAACTATAACCCAAAAACGTTTTTAAATGATCTTACTGATTTCCTCAAGACTGAATGCTTGAAAAAAATGATATCTGAATTGTAAGTCAATTGTAAACCTTTGTACTCAGGTATCATTTCAGAAGCATCTAAGATTCAATAAAAAGGCTTCAAAACCAGTACAGGAAAGGGAGCTTTTCATTTTATAGAAACACAAGTTCTAGTTGTTAACTAATGTCTGGCACTCAACTGCAGCCTTGGCTTGAATACTAATCAAATGAAAATGACCTAAAGTTAACACACTAATGTAAATCCCTTCACAAAAATCACAACAAGGAAACACATTCCTCTAACAAACTTTCAGAAGGTTAGAACTGACCTTAGAGAACATTTAGTTAGCCCTCATTTTACAAAACTAATGCCTTTGACATCTGGCAGAATTTTATATTAGAATGACCAAAGATCTGCATTATTGGTTCTTTCTCTGGATCAATTCCTGTGCCCTGGCAATGTGGAATATCACACCTATAACAAGGAAGTCTGCAACAAATAAAGACATTACATTTGCCCCCATTTCTTTTAAGAAATACAATGGCAGGCGTTATTTCCATAGATGGTATTGCAATTCTAGTACATTCTGTAAATTCTGAACCCAGGATTTAATAGCGATTTGGTTGGTTCTTAGAAGATAAAATTGAGTGTATCTAGAATTGTGCAGCACAACAAATATTAACACACTTGATTTCCTGCTCACATTTATTGGGGCTAGAGAGCTATAATAACTAAAATAGCTATTTTCTTCCCAAAGAATTGGAAAAATATAACACAATAGCAATTTCTTAAATACATAACAAAACTTCCTGAATCATGAATCAACATGAGATGTAATCGCCTATACAGATCAGTTGTGACAGCTTTATAAAATGTCATTCATCTAAGGCATTTCTGAAATTGTCCTTAAAGCCACACATATATACATGATTCTACACACATAAAGGCATCCATTCATGAACAGAAAAAAGTCTTTTAGAAGCACTGTTTAGGGAAGGCTAAAGTAATACATAGTGAGATTCTGAATAATTTTTAAGAGAAAATCTGGGGTTCCAAGAAACGATGACTTACATTCAAATACACAAGGTAAGATTTTCATGAAGCAGACTACAAAAAAATCACACTGAATTATTTGTTTTCCAAAGGCCTCTTTCAAAGTACAGATTTCAAGTCCAAAGCAAATACCCATGGCATGAACAAATAGGATGCCTAAGATTCTATCATTCACTTCCATGAGGTTTTCCTGTTCACTTCCCTACCTAATAACAAGAGAAAATTTCCTAGACGGGGCAACAGCTAGATGTTGTGCCAATACATTCCATAGTACTTTTGGATTGTGGGTTATTACATCCAGATTACAATTTGATGATGGATTCTCAATTCCTATTTCAAATGGACTATATTACTACAAATACAAAAAGATTTTTATTCAAACATCCTTGTGTAGAACCACATTTCTTCCTAATACAGAATGATTAGGAAAGAATAAAGCTGGCAGACAGAGAAAGGAGACAAGGTTAAACGCCTTAATAGCCGATTAGCTAAAAAAAAAAAAAAAAAACAGCTTCTGCTATCAAAGTCATCAGCCC